CTTCATATCAAAAAATACTTTTGGATTAACTTTGTGTTTGTCATTTTTGATGGAATTGTATCTGAATTTCTTTGACTTTGTCATAATGTGATACTTTTTTATTTCCATAAAATGATTGGTTTGATATAAATTAATTAAATAATTAAATAAAAGTTGATAAATTTATAATTAAATTATAATAAAACTTACAACCAAAAAGTGAAGATCAAAAGTGGTTAGACGTGTGGCTCAACAAAAGTGAAGTACTTTGGCACGCAGTCAATGCCCTCAACAAGTGTTTTCACAATCTTTTCATTTTTCACTATAATTTTTCCTTACTCAATCAACTCGTCGAGTTTCTGCTTTCTCATGAAGATGTCTACTAAGTCTTGTTTACTTCCTTTAATCTCTCCATCGTACTCATCACCACCATCTCTTGAGTTAATTGTAGAGTTGCAAATGACAAGTATTGCTGATTCTTTGTTGTTTGTGTCTTCTATTCTGATTTTGCAATCAAGTCCTTCTATCACATTTGGATCAACATGAACAGCAAGGAAGTCCCCAAAGTCTCTCATTGGAATCGCCTCAATTGGGAAACTGAAGTCTCGTGGTTTCTTGTCGTTCAAATTTCTCAACTCGTAAGCGGCTGTTTGGTAGTTGTATCTCCAACTTGCGCACTCGGCAACGTAACTCAGTTGGTCGTATGTTGTAGCAAGCAGTTCGCGTGCCTTCTTGTTGTTGACATCTGCAAATACCAAGTGATTCAAGACTGTTGCTGCCCATCGGTATTCGCCTTTGTTGTAAGCGTCTTGTCCAATTTCAAGTGTCTTTTCAACACCACCAAACGCCTCTACAAACTTCACTGCAAGTTCGCGTGGTGGAAGTTCGTCCAAGTGTGCTGGATTGCTGTCATATGTTCCAAGGTATAATTGATATTGTGATTTGATGTTGTGATTAAGTGAGCCATACAGTCCTCTGCAACACCTCTTTTTATTGAGACTGTCGGGAAGTCTCACAAACTCGGCAATTTCAGTCATGTTATAACCCTTGTTGGCATATCGCAGTGTCTGGTCGTGGATGTGCTTGTACAAATCTCTTTTGGTTCGCCAGAACTTGTTGATTCTCTCATTCCCAAAAAGAACCATTCCATGCCCCGCAAAGTGAATTTGGATGTCCTTCCCATAACTCACAATTGCATCATCAAGTGCTTTGCTCCAAATCTTGCCACTTCTGACCTTAGCTCCTCTTAATGTTCATTTTTGTCATTATTTATGATATTATTATATACAAAGTGTGATAAGACTGTTTGATGATATTATTTTATATAACAATAACAAACCAAGATTATGCATACAAATAGCAAAGTTGTCGGCAACAAATATTGCTTTAAATTAGGGCAAATAGAACATCATATTTGCTGGCGCCTCAGTGTTTGGAGTTGG